TATCTTCATGGTGGAGGTCATAGGAGATGTTTCCGTATTCTCTCAAAAATGGGAAGATTTCAAGCAGGAACTGACAGAAATCCTTGCGAATACCAAACCACCCTGCAAAACAAGAATGCACTTTTTCAAACACTAGCCTCCACTGCATTTCATGTTACTTTTCCTTCCTGAAGGAGAAGTTTTATCCTGATCTTAGAAATGAAGACTGAGCAAGGCCTGAATACCACTTAGGACAAGAAGTCACATCTGCGCATTCTCCAAGTGGGGTTCCCAGACCCCCTACGATAGTGTCCCTGGGGCCTTGGCAGGGATGCCATCTTGGCCCGGCCCAGGCCTCCTGAATCAGAATTGGTGGGTGGGGCAGTCCGCTTGCACAGGCCATCCTGGGGTTCTATGGGGGCTCCAGTTTGAGCACTGCTCTAGTGCCTCTCAAATACCTGTGGCATCTAGACTCTGTCGACATCCTACCCCGCCCGGGGTAAACTCATGTACGACCAAGAATGTCATCCAAGGAGAGCATTTCCATCATCTTCTGGAATCAGGGAGGAGGGCAGGCATGTGTTGGCCCAGGCCTGGAGGCGGCCTGAGCTCATGGGGCCACCTCAAAGCTACTTCTCTGAGGCCCACTATTCTGGCTGTGTACCATTGGACTATCAGCTCAGTGCTGGCACTCCTGGGCCACAATACCCTGTTCCATTGGCTTCCAGAAGGACATGCTCTAGGACCACATGCAAATGAGACCTTCCTCAGAGATCACTTCAAACCTGGGTATCCTAGCATGCAAGTGGAGTGGAAGGGAGCACAAGCAGGGCACCACTGATGAAATCTGTGATATCAGGAGTGACACTGGGGAAAGTGACAAGGAAACAGAACCTAGGAGGACTCCTGGGGTTTGGTGGATGATGTGGATTTTCATCTAATCCTCAGGAGCCCCTGAGAAGGAGACATCTTGATTCTCATGTTGCAGTGGACAGGATGGGGCTCAGAGAGGCTACCTGCCAGGGTTAGTCCTACTGCAAATCGCAGGATGTACTGCTAGGGAGGCTGTGGGATAGGACAGGGAAAGCCAGTTTGACAGCATGCCCTTCCCTTGGAAGATTCCAGACCTTCCTCAGCCCTAGCTAGCTTTCCCATGAAACCCTAATTGTGGCCGTCAGGCTCATCCTTTCATAGAGCAGGGCCACACGCACACGCGCAGACAGACACACAGGTCAAGGGCTTCTGAAATGCTGAGTACATACAGTGGTTCCCTCCCTTCTGTCCAAATGTGGTTGCCATCAGAGTGATCAAGGAAAGCCAGAGGGGGACAAATATTGGTATACAGGAGAATGCATTGTGGCCGTCCAGTTTGTGAACCAGCAGGATCTAAGGAAAGAGCAACAGTTGAGGTTCTTTGATGTAGCACCTGGAAATGCACAACGTCTGAAGCCAGAGCACCCCTCCCTCATCAGGTCTCATAATGGGGAAAGTCAGCTCCATAGGAGACCCCAGACACCCTCTACTCTGGGGAAAAGAAAATCCATTCATCTGGACTGTTCCCAGCGCCAGGACAATTATGGGAAACTCCTCCTGGTTCTGGTTAGGGGAGTCAACAGTGCCCCTCCTATAACTCTCCATGGAACTCACATATGAAAACACAACATCCAACTTCCTCCTTCGAGGAGTAGACAAACTGATGCAGATGCACCTTAGCCAGAAAGGTGCATTTCTCACTGCCAGCCCCAGCCACCCCACTCCCTAAGAAACGACATTCTAAATCTGTCCTTCTCTCTTGGCTTGCTCTCCAGGCGCTGGCTTACGGTGATTTCCCGGCAGAACAGGCTGCCCTTGTAGGTACAACACACGGTGGTCATAGGGAAGGGTGGCCTTCAGGACCTCGGAAGTTCTAGTTTTGAGAGCTTACCTCAAAGGTAAGGAGAGGCACGACAATGGTCATCCAGCTCAGTGCCATCGTGATGTGTGTCCTTCGTTGTTCTGCAATCACATCCATGGAGCGCAGGAACAGGACGGACCATACAATGTAATAGAGGACCACCAGGCACAGAAAGGACATGAGAATCCACAGCGGGACACACACAACCTGAGGGAAGGAAGAGAGAAGAAATGTCTCTACGGTCATCTAGTTTGCACCCCAGCATCTGAGGGCAGGCATAGCCAACCGCTTGGTTGATCTCTGCAGTGAAGACAGTGCTCCACCATGGATCACTGTTGGGGTGAAGAGCCTTACAGCTGCTTTTCCTAAGGTACAATCTCACTCAGCCTGCACCCACTCTGTCATCACTGCCGCCCTGTCTCCACCCCCCAGGGCAACAGGGCAGTGCTGTCATCCTCATGCACGCTCACCCCATCTCACCCTATCGTACCCTATCCACAGGGCGTTTCCCCATCCTGCCAGAGGTACTTTGGCCCAAGACTGGGGATTGTGCTCCCTGGAAGCTCCAGCTGCCCAGAGTGCACAGGCCCTCTGCTAACTTGCACACCGATGCTGGGAGGGCCCGCTGCCCAGTCCCCGCCACCTCTCCCAGGCGGGTTTAATGTCTGTTGCTGTCCTACCAGAAAGACCTTTTTGATGCCCCCATGAGCCTGTAGACTAAGTCCTGGGGTCCTCATGATCTCTTCTCCTCTTGAATGGCCCACTTGGGACATGCCTGCCAGCCCTTTGTCTTGTGTTATCCATCAGTTAAATTGACTGTTTTCTTTTGGTGTACAGTTCTGACTTCTCATGCATACAAGCATCGATGTGCTAGCCCTAGGCAGGACACAGTACAGTTCCTTGACCCAATACTCCCTCATGCTGTCCCTTCACTGTGTCACACCCTCACCCCACCTATAACCTCCGGGAACCACTGATCTGTTCTTTATCAGTACACTTGTGTCTTTTCAAGAATGTGCTGCAGATGGGATCATATGACATGTAACCTTCTGAAATTCCCTTTTTTCAATCAGCAGAACGTCTAGGATTCTTCCAAGTTGTGTGTATGAACCGGCTGTTCCCTTTCATTGCTGAGCAGTGTTCCACTGGATGGAAGGACCACAGCCTGTTTATCCAGCCACCCGTGGAAGATTTGGGTGCATTCTTGCTCTTGATTATTGCAAATCAAGCTGCTATATAAATACTCGTGCACAGGTTTTTGTGTGGCTGTATGTTTTCACTTTTCTAGGCAACACCCAGGATTGGCACTGCTGGGTGATATGTTAACTCCATGTTGAACTTTATAAGAAATTGCCAAACCTTTTTCCACAGGGCCTATACAATTTGACCTTCCCCCTAGTGATGTGCGAGGGTCCCCGTCCCTCTGCATCCTCCCCAGCACCTGGTATTGTGGTACTTCATCCTGGTTTTTATTTGCCTTTCCCTAATGGGTAACGATGTCCTTTCCATGGGCCCATTCAGTATATGTCTATACTCTTTGTGAATGGTCTATTTGGGTCTATTCAGTCAATTTTTAAATTAGGTTGTTTGGTTTTTATTTTGAAGTTTTGAGGGTTCTTTAGAAGTTCTGGATACAAGCTCTTGTTCAGACATGTGTTTTGCCAATATTTTCTCCTAGTCTGTGGCCTGTCTTTTCATGAATTTCATTTCACTTCTGAGCTCCCTTTATGGACCATGTTGTTGGTGTCATTTCTAGGAACTCTTCACCTAACCCCAAGTCCCAAAGATTTTCTCCTGTTTTCTTCTACCAGTTCTTTGGTTTTACATGTTATGTTTTAGACCAATGACTTGAGTTGGGGTATGGTTTTTAGTCCTCCTGAGTAGCTTGGCATTCCTGGTCGTAGGTTTTGCTGTTGAGTCTATGCACAGCCTCTTCCCTATGATCAGACTCTCCTCATTTAGTGGCATGCCCGTCGTGGGCAGAATGTTAGTAGTTGTAAGAGCCTCATTTGGTCTCTCTTGATCATTGTGGGAAACGTGCAATCAGGCTGCTTCATCTGCTGGGACCTGCACAGGATTGGGCCTGGAAAAATCCCTGTTTACCCACAGAAAACATTCACAGTTCCTATTCTCTTTTTTTTTCTTGATTGTACCTTACACTAAAAATTTGGTCTTACCAAGATTTGTTTCCTCCATGTCACAAGAGAAAGTTTTAAACCCAAATTACCTTTCTTATGATACAGCACCCTGAAGATGTAGGATGGGTGCCTGGACAATATTTTCTATTATTTTATCAAAAACTTTGGGGAGAAGTGATGGGTCTTGCTTTATTCATTGTACAGGCAACATATGTTCCCTGATTTTCTTCCCTGTCACCAAATGAATATTTTCTTTTTTTACTATATTTTTTTACTTTTGTTTTTTTAAACGTAAACCATTTCTATTACAGAAAATGTCTTGTGTGCAAAAGTACATATCAAGCGGCAGGGGGAAGAAAAACACCTGCATGACCTCATCTCTCAGAGGCAATGTAACTTTTCTACCTTATTCTCATCTTTTCTTTGCATTAATAGTTGAAACTATAGTGTGTTCTCTAATTTGTAGCTTGTCTCGTGTGTGTGTGTGTGTGTGTGTGTGTCCACCTATCCACCCATCCATCTTCTTTCCTTCCTTACTTTTCCTTCCTCCCTTCCTTCCTCCCTCCCTTCCTTCCTTCCTTCCATATGCACAGTCAATATTAACCAAACACTAATTAACTGAAGCCACAGGTTACAAGCATGACTCAGACCTCACCCTTGGCAGGAGTATAAATTAACACAGCTTTTGTGAAAAGCAAATTGGCAGTACAGTTTGTATTTCTAAACCTCAAAAAGTTCCCACCCTCTGGCCCAGTAATACTGTTTCTGGAGTATTTCCTAAGAAAACAATGAAAAAAAAGATTTGTATGTGCAAAGATTTTTATGCACAAAAATATATGCTGCAGCATGATTTATAATCACAAAATACTGAGAACCTCAATGTTCAGAAATAAGGGGATGGTTTGGTAAATGCATTTGAAGGATATTTTCTATCAATTAAACACTTATGTTTTTAAAGACCTTTTATTGACATGGGAAAATATTTATGACACAACATTAGAACAAAAAAGCAGGATACAAAATTATATACATGGTATGATGTCAACTTTCTTTAGGAAACAATAAACCCCAAAACAAGAAAACAAAAACCACTAGCCATCTTATCTCCCAGTAGCTTATGGGTGGTTATTATTCTATTACCTAGGCTTATCTGTCTTTTCCAAGTTTTCTACAATGAACACGAATTACTTTTATAGTAAAAACAGAAAATTTTATTTAAGGATTTAAAAAGTTACATACAAGCCAGGGCCAGTGGATGATCTTGTCCAGTCTTAAGGCAATGAATATAAACTGGAGGATGTTGACAGAACACAGGATTTCTAACTAAAAAGGAAGAGAAGAATCAGTTAAACAAAGTAAAAGTTGTACCCGATACTGCAATTATTTGGCTAACGCACTAAAAGGCAATGCAAATTATACTACGGTAAAAGTTGTATTAAGCTACCCTGGGACTGCCTGGTTTTCAGCACCACAGGAGTGGACCTGCCCCCGGTCTTCTGCCTCATTCCCCCTGCTCCATAGCGGTCCTGCCCTTTATGCTCACCCAGGCAATGACCTTATTTCCAGGCTCACCGAGTGATGAAGCCATCCACGCTCGATTACCGAAGCTTCCTTCCTGTTCCTATCCACAAACACCTCCATTTCTAACTATCTCTGTACATCCTTTTTCTTGGTAATCAGGACTCAGCCCTGTACCTCACCCCTTCCTCTCTGGCTTCTCAAGGACCTGTCACATCAAGACATCAGTCATAGATTCTTTACTGCATCTTTAGCCCCGCCTACTCCACTGATCCTTCCCAGAAACACAGAAACAAGTTCAACGCATTCCCATTACACACAAAACCACCACAGGACCAAATAAAGTCACCCTTCCCTGGATCCAGTATCCCCTCCTAGCTCCCCCCCCTCTCTCTCACCATCAAGCTTTGTGAGACATCATGGATACTTAAGCCCTATGGCCTTCCCTGCCTTTCCAAGCTCCACACACTATGATCTGGCCTCCACTCCCATGACCACCCGGAAACTGCTTTCATCAAGGTCGCCAATAACCTCTGCAGCATCAAACCACTTCAGTTCTCATCCTACTGGGTGTCTGTGCAGCATCTGAAACTGGTGACCACTCCTCCCTCCTTCTAGGGTCCCAGTGTGCAGTTGCACCCACCTCCTGGTGCTTTGACAGTTCTTTTTCAGTCTCCTTTTCCTCTAATTAAATGGTGATGCTCCCCAAAGCCTTAAACTCAGTCTTCTCTCCCCACTAGAGACACACAAACATACATGCGTTCACTCCCTTGCTGTGCTTTGGGGGTGGGGGAGAAGAAACGTTATCCACACCCCTGGTGTGCATTACCTCCCATTGGCTGGTGCTCTAATCTCTGTCTCCAGCCCCGCCTTCATGCTGTGGCTCAGACCCATATCTCCTTGAGGCACCTCAATGAAGCCAGTCCCCAAGTGGGGTCATTACTCCCGGTACCTTTACCCGTCCATCTTGTCCCACCCCTTTGATAGGTGCCCATCCCACTGTGTGGTACCACAGTGGCCTACTTACCTAAACCACAATGCCAGAAAGCATGCTATATTCCTTTTCCCACACTCTTCGAGTCAGTCACCACATCCTTTCCTCCTTACCATCCAGATTTAACTCTTGAATCCCCTGCCTGCTCTCCATCCTGATTACTATTGCCTAGTCAGGCCCTCCTCATCCCCAACCCCCCAAAACACTCCATTCCTGGAGGCACTCAGCTCCCCAGTGCCCTTCAGACTGTCTGCCCTCTGCCTACAGTGCTAGCTGTTGTTCAATGGCTTGCCAGTGCCCACAGAAGGAAAAGCACATGCGGCCACTGGATCTGGCCCAGAGCTTCTCACAAGTTCTCAGTTCACAGGGCATTTAGTGACTCAACAATTCTTTCATAGGCCTCTGGGCCAAAAGAAGTACCTAACCGTTCCACTGATTTAAGTAATTAGGTCTAAACTTAGTATCTGTGTCCCAAGTAGCCATCTATAAATAAAGTCAATTAAATAAATAAATAAAACAAAAATAAAATAAAATCACTCACCCACTCATCTAAATCGAAAGAAAGATATTTTTATTCCATTCTTAAATAAGCACAACTGATTCCTAAGGGGATGTATGTGCCTGTTGGGTGCCGCACCATTTCTCAAGGCACTTGCACCCTCATTCCTTGTTCTCCACATGGATTTTTGCATAGTACTACCTTCTTACGACAGCAACTGCCAACAACCTAGCTCCTCCCATGATGTCAATGAAAGGAATGGAATGTGACCTAATAATAAAACCGTCAATCACTTGAAGCTAGTAGTCCATATGGTGTCTCCACAGATGCCAGCTATCACTGCTTTTCCCTTATATATGTCCAGTATCTCACGGTGCAGTGCCCCTGAGTTCCCTATGGAGCCTGGGGCAGCTCAGCACATGCTTGGGGGATTGAAAAATGTGGCCCCTACTCTGCCCAATCCCTCTACACAGCCTCCCTTCCCCCCAACTGCCATGATGCCCTCCTTTCCACTTTATGTTCCAGGCATACGATTGATTGGGGTAGAAAACACACAACAGATGTAAAACTTACCATCTTAACCACCTTTGTACAGCTCAGCAGCATTAAGTACACTCATACTGTTGTGTAACCATCACCACCATCCATTTCCAGAATTCTTTGCAGTTTTGCAGTTTGCAAAACTGTGCTTCAGTCGTATTTGGAGCCACCATAGTCCACTCAACATGGCAGATTTTCTCCTGCCTCTGCCTTTGTGTGCGTTGCTATTCCCTCTGCCTGGAAAATCCCATTTCCTCCCCCACCTGCATAGGGCACCCTGGCCAACCCTCACTCTTCCTTCACATCACTGTGTGAGCCTCTCCCCAGTCACCCCCTAGCAAATGTAGGTGCTTCTCCTCCTGGGACACAGGAACCAAGGGGGAGCTCAACTCCTGGAATGGTGTTTCTTCTCGTAGGTAGGAATGCCAAGAGTGTCACTACATGAATGACTTACTTTCTAGAACTCTGCGTTAGGAAAACACAGTTTCATGTTCAATGCAGTCCTAGCCCTTGTGTATGCTTTTGCTTTCTAATAAACAAAGTAAGACATTTTTAGTTTTCTTAAACCTCCTTCTCAGCCCCTATCCAATGGTATTTACATAACCCTCTCAGCGCTTTTTAACCGGGGTGACGCTGCTCCCTTGGGGAGGGGCTAGGCATGTGCAGGGGGCACTACTGGTTGTCACAACTAATGGGGGGAGTGCCTCCACTAGTAGTTAGTGGGCAGAGGTCCTGCAACGCATAGGCCAGTCCTGTTCAACACAACATTTCCTATCCAGTAGGTGAACTGCATACCCCCACCCTCCCGCCGAGAAATGCTGAACCAAGGAAGTACAGTAATACCTTGGTTTGCGAGCATAATTCGTTCTGGAAGCAAACTACTCATATTGCAAGGCATCGTTTGTTTACCACATTAAAATGTATTAGAAATGTTTGCTCCTCTTGTGGAACACTCACAAACCAAGTTACTCGCAATCCAAGGTTTTACTGTAACACCTATAATGTTTGATCTCAATGATTGTGTTTAATGTAGTCTTTTGCCAATGATTTCTAAAGCTTGATTGTACTTCATTTTCTCAGGTAATAGACAAACATGCAAAGCAAGGAAGGCATAAAGTAGAAAGGCAAGGATGACTGGGAGGAAATGCTGTGTTTAAGAATGTAGGGAATACAGATTTGGGTGAAGGGGGATACGGAGTCCGGAGCTCCAGGAGACATATGAGTTTAGAAATGTGAATTTAGGAGGTGACATAACTGATACGGGAGACGGGAAATGTAAACAAGCTATTTGGAGGAAGTACACACAGTGAGGATTGAAAATGCCCAAGACTAGAACAGAATCCTAAGAAACGGCAACGGCGCCAACAACAGGTGTGGCTAGACTGGTCAAAGGACCAGGAGTGTCAGGAGCTCCACAGTGGCCAGCGGCCAGGAAAAATGAGACGACTGAAAGGGCCCACGGGATTTGGCCAGAAAATGATCAGTGCGTTTCGGGGTATGCAGGGACTGAGCAGGGAGCACGAGGTCAGAACAGCACTGTTTCGGGGAGCCTTTCTGTAAAGGGGAGGAAAAGGCACAGCAGCCAAACAGGACTGAGAAGGATTTGCTGCTGTCATTTTCTTTTCTCTCTCAGAGAAGACAGAGCAAAGTGACCTGAGAGAGTGCAGATAAGTTCAGAAGCCATTCTTAGAGGAACCAGGGGGGAGAGGAGCTGAGGCAGGAGCTTGCCTGGCCTGCCCCAGGAGGAAGGATGGACAGGCAGGGAGGAAACCAAACAGGTCAAGGTCTGGAATGACTCCTGGAAACAGGGGGCAGGAGGGGGCACTATGCAGAGAGGGCTGGGAAGGGGTTGCAGACGGGCAGGGCGAGTCTAGCTCAGAGCTTTTCAACCTGGCTCTCATTACTGTCCCCCCAGGAGTCTTTTTAGACGTGTTTTGTCCTTAATCGCACTCCATGAAGAAATGTTCATACTGCTGGCAAGCAGCCAGAGGGGGCAGTGCAGAGAAGTGGCTGGACTGTCCAGGCTTGGGGAAGTGCAGGGAGGGTGACAGTGGGCCCTCAGGGGTCCTCCCCTCCATAGTTCACCGCACCCTCTCCCCCAGCACCAGGAGAATCGTTCTCCCTCTTCAAGGCCAAGCCCATCCTGGTGTTTGGGGTCCTGTTCCTTCTGGTTCCCACAGACCCTGGCTTCATCACCCTCCGTCTCCACAGGTGCCTTCTTCTCAAGGTTCCCACGCCCTAAGCCACCCGCCAGCTCCTACACTCCCTTCCAACCCAAAGGTCATTTCCTTCTTGCACTTTTTATCCACGCAGCTCAAAACAAAATGTTCCTCATGTCTAGTTCTCCTCTGAACCCATGTGTGTAGGGTTGCCAGGGGGTAGGCCCATGGCTCCCATGTGGTTCGCTGCACAGGATTCAGAGTCCAGCTGACTGAAATGGGATCCCTGTCCTGCCCTACATGAGTGGCCGAGAACAAATCACTTACCTTCTCTGGAAAACAGGGATGACAACTACGTCGACTTCACAGGGTTGTTGTGAATCCTTAATGAGATACCACTGCATGTGAAGGGCCTAGCCCAATGCCTGGCACACAGTAAGTGCTCAATAAATGTGATCTGCAATTATTTTCATTACTAGTATTAGTATTGCTGGTATTGCTTTATTATCTGTGTATCCCCTATGTTTAGGCAAAAAGGGCTTGGTGTATAGCACATCCTTGATAAATATTTACTGAATCAGTAAATAAACATATGGGATAAGCTAACCAGACACCAGATGCAGTGTTGGAGCGCAGGGTCTGAGGCAGTGCGGTGATTAGTTTTATGTGTCAACTTGACTGGGCTACAGCACCCAGTTATCTAATCAAACACTAACCTAGGTATTGCTGGGAAGGTGCTGACTTTACATAAAGGAGATGACCCTTAATAATGTGGATGGGTCTCATCCGATGGGTTCGAAAGCCTTAAGAGCAAAAACTGAGGCTTCCTGGAGAGGAGGAAATTCTGCCTCAAGACTGGAGCCTCGACTCCTGCCAGGCTGTCCTGTGGATTTCAGAGTCGCCAGCCCTCCAATCGCATGAGCCAGCTCCTTTTCTCTGCATCTACACCTAGCCCTGCATCTCTCCTGCTAGTTCTGTCTCCCAGGAGAAGCTTGACTGATACAGGTGGACGGGGAAAGATGTGAAGCTGGAAGAAGGCTGATGGCCTGGGTGAAAACAACCAGTGTTTTCACTCAAGAGAGAGACGCATAATTAATAATTACTTCCCTGGTCTTCTGTTTCCTTATATACACCCTGATCTAGAGTTAATGATCAATCTCTTCCTAACAAAGGGCAACACATTGACATTACAATTACTGACGATTCTGAAATGTATGAAATCTCACCTCCAGTGACCTGTCATGTCGAAAGCCCCAAACACAAGCTGCCACAGACACCGGGGACACAAAGAACAGCGGCATGAAGACCAGGAGCCAGAAATGGCTGCCTCGCTCGATCCGATCACACACCAGCACTTCAAACATCAGCAGGAGCAAGTGGATACCCACTGCAATCAGCATGGCCTTGAACTCCACACATGTTTCTCCTTCTGCTCTAAAAAGGGACAGAAGAAGAAGAAAAAAACACCCTCAGTTCGGAATCTCCATCACAAGCAAGCAGTCCAGGGCAACACCAACTTATGTTGCTACTGAGTCATTTTTGTAAATCCGACCCAAAGTGAAGGCAATATGAAGTAGAAAGCTAACTTAAACTTAGTATTTAATAGGCGACCTTTTGAACATCAAAGAACTACTACACGACAGGAAATGAGCATTACAACCAAACCAGACTTAAAATTTTAACTGTATAAAGATAGTCTCAGAAGTAATAGCTACACTTATTTTCCGGACAGTGGACACAAACACTTTTGTTCATAATTTTAAATTCAACTAATTCCAAGATTATTCAAGCTGATTGCTTCTATTGCTAAAAACTGACAAATGTCCCTCAAATCTCATGATCCTTATCTCTTAACAAAGTAAACACCATGTAAATCACATTTCATGCAGTCCTATAAAAATAACTCTAGCTTTATGAACAAGTGTGGGTTATATTTAAAGAAAGTACAGTAACTACTACTTGGTGCTATTTTAAAATGCAAATAAAAAGTCTGAATGCCTTTTTATTTTCATTTCTATTCCATTGGGATGAATTAACACCTGCAGATGAAAAAGAGAAGAGCAAAAGAGTTAAAACTGTTCTTCAAAAAAAATCAGTTTAATTAGCTGTCTAAGTATCATGCATGCACTTAACAGATTAACAATACAAAATCACAAGGCCACTCATCAGGAAAATGCTTTTTAATGCATTTGGAAGCCTTCTATGTTTCATTCAAAATGTACATGAACATTTATGATATGTCTGGAAGATGATCAATACAATTGAGTTCAAGATACAGAGAAAATGAGGTCAGTGGTTATTTCTATAGGACCCAACAATGGTCCCTTGAATATCACTGACACCAGAACCACCACATCTGTACACTCAGGACATCAACCACACACACACACAATTCCCTTCCTTGCTTTCAAAATCTTAAACCAAGAAAGAAAAGGTCAAATAGCATCTAAATATCGCTTATATTTAGATATAATGATTTAACGTTTCATTCTTTGAGTAGTAAATGTTAGATTTCTGAAAATAATTCATAAAAAAAAGAAAAGATTTGCAGCCATACAGGAGGTCCTAAAAAAGTAAAAAAAAAAACAAAACAAGAAAAAAAACCCCAGTAACTTTAAAACAGCTACACATCAATGTCCCCCATCTGCCAAGGCTCTTGGTGTGGCTACTTCAAAGTTCTTAGATGTGTAAGTGGTAATGCACTTTGTATGATCTAAATCTTATTTTAATGTCATAACCAAGAATTTAACAAGTTGAGGTGGTCCCAACATCTATTCACTTGTCTCACATGAGCAGCTGCAGGTGTTCCCCTTTTTCTTCCCCACCTGCCTCCTAGGCATTCCTTCACTCCCCACCTTCCTGGTGAAGGTTCAGAATAGCCCCCCCTCAGTCCCCCCTTTTGTTCCATTCTGAAGTTCCACTCGCTGCGAGGGAGAGAGCAGAGACTCTCACAGGCCCCAGTAGCTCCAGGCTACACGCTGGAGTGACCCAGCTCCAGGACCTTGGACCAGCTGAGCCATCCAAGAAAAAAGGCGCTGAGGAGCTGAAGATAAAGATGGGATACCTCTGCCTGGCCCCCAAGGCTCTGCTCTCCTCCACAGCATCTGGGGCTTATCTCTCCCCATCTCAGGGACTCACTGCTCCCTGGCTGAGCTACCTCCCCCACACTAAGAACAGTCCTAAAATCTCAGGACTGGAAGACTTGGACTAGAAGCCCCAGGTCCAGGACTGAACTGGAGAATGATATATCCCTGATGACCAGGGCTAGAACTTTGGATAGAACTGCTCCACACACATGGAGGTTTCATACTTCTGAGTCTAGCGTGGTAGAACAGTTCTGTATTTTGCATGTATTTTAGGTTCCATAGGCTTTTGTGGGCTGGCCAGGAATGGAACCACCCAAAATAACACTGCTTTTGCAAGAAAATGCATATCAAACACCTAAGTTTTAAAAACTTAGGACTAGAGCTCAGTGTGCCTGTATTATAGTTCTTCTCAAACACTGGATTGGTAGAAAAGAAAATAGTCCTTACTTTATCCAAAGTGAAAGAGAAGATATTACTCCCTCTGGATAGAGACCAAGGGGTTTTATAAAGCAATATTACCGATATTGGGGATTTCGTGCCCAGACTCCGGTTCCAACTGAGGCTCCAACAATGACCATTAACTTCCACAGCCATATTGGGGCAAAGACGGCCCAGTAACTCCACTGAATGATGCCATCCAGACGAAGGGCCAGCAGCACAGAGAACAGCAGCAGACAGGCATAGATGAGGAATTTACTAGGAGAAAAGTAAAACAATTAAAGAGGATTCACACTGACAAATATGTGATACTGAAATGGGGAGTAGTAACAGTAGTATTTCAGCACATGAAGAGTCACTAATTTAACAATCGCTTACTGAAAAGTTCTATGTAGTAGAAATACTGTGTTGGGGATAAGAAAGACATAAAGAAGGCTAAAATCAGTTCCCTGTTTTCCAGGGTGTCCTGTAGGAGAGAAGGAGGGACTCCACACAGAAACATACAATTATAATACACCATGACGTGCGCCATCAGGGCTATGGGACAGGGTGTGATGGGAGCCCACAGGAGAAAATAGGAATTCTTTCTGGGGGTACTGGGAGGCAGTGAGGTGATGAACCTAAAGCTAGTTCCAGAGGATATGTGGAAAGCTGCCAGGTAGGAAAGTGAGCTCAAGAGACATTCCAAGGAGAGGGAACTAGCCTCACCAAAACACGGGGACTGGGAAAGGTTGACATGTTCAGGATATGTTCAAGTTCTGTCACTAATTGTTTGATTCTATTTTTTAAAAGGCTGCCATCTGCCATGTTCATATACAGTAACATTTTGGTTCATGTATTATACTTTTCATGACTGATTTCTCCTCCTCCTCCTCCTCCACTTCTTCTCCTTCTCCTTCTTCCTCTTCCTCTCCTTCCTCCTCCTCCTCCTCCTCCTCTTCTTCTTTTCTTCTCTCTTTCTCTCCCTCTCTCTCTCTCTTTCTCCATCTCTCTCTCTCTCTCTCTCTCTCTCTCTCTCTCTCTCTCTCTCTTTCTCCCATTTCACATAAAAGGGACTTCCTGAAGAGGATTTCCTTAAAATATTAATTAGAAATTACATTGTTAAGGACTTCTACTTCCATTGGGGGTGGCAGAATAAAAGGAATGGGGTTTTCCTTCCCACCTTAAACAAGAAACTGGGCAAAATATATGAAACAACAGTTTTCAGACACTGGACAACAGGCAGTAAAAGGCTGATTGCAGAAGGAAAGAAAGAAAACAAAAAAGATAAACTCTATTATCACCCCAGCTTACTGCCTGAAGGCCGTTTCCAGGCTGCAGCAAGAAAGTAATGAAAACCCAATCCTATGGACAATTACATTAAATGTAAATGGTGTAAATACCAATTCAAAGTCAAACACTGTCAGGTTGGATTTAAAAAGCAAGAAAACTATATGCTATCTATAAGAAACTCACTTTGAAGTCACAGAAAGATTACAAGTAAAAGGACAGAAAAAGTTATACCAAGCAAATACTAATCAAAAGAAAGCTGCTGTAACCATATTTGATATCTGTTTTAGTCTTCTATTGCTGCTGTAACTAATTACCACAAACTTAGCAGCTTAAAACAATACAAATTCATTATCTAACAGTTGTGTATGTCAGAAGCCCAAGCAGGCTTAGTTGGTTTCTCTGCTCAGTCTCATGAGGCTGAAATCAAGATGTCAGTTGACTGGGCTTTTCTCAGGGGACTGGGAAAACTCTACTTCCAAGTTCATTCAGGTTGTTGGCAATCTGGTTTCTTGTGGATGTAGGACTGAGAACCCAGTTTCTCTGCTGGCTGTCAGGATGGGGTGGCCCTTAGATCCCAGAGGTCTGTCTCTGATCCCTACACATAGGCCTCTACATCTCAAAACCAACAACAGCATATGAAATCTTTCTCATGCTTGGAATTCTTATGGCTTCTCCTTTGGCCAATGGGCAAAACATCTATGAGAAAAAACAAAGTTGGAGAACCTATGCTACGTGTTTTTGAGGCTTACTATAAAGCTACTATAATTAACACAATGGGTATTAGCATCAGGAGAGACACAGAGAACAGAATAGAGTCCCAAAACAGACCCATACATACATGGTCAGTTAACTTTTGACAAAGGCAGTTCAATGGAGAAAGGATTGTGTTTCAACAAATAGTGCTGAAAAAAAATGGATAGATGGGGAAAATGCAGCTAGACCCTTAACCTCACAGCATATACAAAAAATTTACACGAAATGGATCACAGACCTAAATGTAATTGCCAAAACTATAAAACGTCTAGAAAACACAGGGGAAAAAATAATTGCCATGAAGGGCTAGGCAAAGATTTCTCAGATGGCATACAAAATTGGATTCCTTCAAAATTCAAAACTCTTATTCTCCAAAAGAAAATCCAAGCCATAAACTGGGAGAACATATTCTGAAAAAATGTATCTGACAAAGTACCCATATCCAGTATACATAAAGGACTTTTACAATTAAAAATTAAGAAAACAATCTGATGAAAAAGAACAGGAAAAATAACAACAGACACTCGCTCAAAAAAGCCATACAAAAGGCAAATAAGCACATGAAAAGCTACTCAATATTTTCGGACGTTAAAGAAAGGCAAATTAAAACAGCAATGAGATAAAACTACACACTCACCACAATGACTAATATTAAAATGGTCAGCGATGACACTTGTTGCTAAGGAGTAACTGGAACCCTCCTATGTTGCTGGTGGGAATGCAAAAACAGTACAGCCACTTTAGAAAACACTTCTGCAGTTTCTTACCAAGTTAAGTACATACTTACTCTATGACCCAGCAATCTCATGCCTCAGTATTTATTCAACAAAAAGGAAAACACATGTCCACACAAAAGATTTATATTTGAATGTTCAAAGCAGCTTCCTTTATAATAGCCACTGCAAACAACCCAAATGTCCATAAACTGGTGGTGACTAGCCAAACCAATTGTGCTATATCTGTTCAATGGAATACTATTCAGTAGTAGAAAGAAACCAGGGACTCATGCAATAACACGAACCTCAAATGCACCACGCTAAGTAAAATGACTCAGACTGAAGACACAATCTACTATATGACTCTACTTATCTGACATTCTGAAAAGGGCAAAAGTATAGATACAAAACAAAACAGATCAGTGTGGTTACCAGCGGCTGTGTTGGGAGAAAGGCCCCCTACAGAGGGGCACAAGGGAATATTTTTCAGCAGTGGAATTGCTCTACATCTTTGGGTGGTGGTTACACAACTGTATGGATTTATCAAAACTCATAGAACTGTGCACTAAAAACAGGTACATTTTACTGCATGTGAAATATACTTCAATAAACCTGGCATATCTATGGATCTATCTACACATATGCAACACCACCAACAGCTAACATGTACTAGATGTTAGTGGAATGTCAGGTATTGTGCTGTTTCTCATGTATTATCTCACTTAAGCCTCACAGCAACTCTATCAAGGAGGCACTTACACTATTCTCATTTTACAGATGAGGAACGAAGGCTTAGATGTTAACGTGTTCAAGCAGCTAGCAGCTCACAGAGCTGGGATTCACACTAAGATCTGTTTGACTCCCAAGTCCTTTAAACTGCTACACAATAAAGTCCTTTTGAGTGCTTCACAATACTGACTTTATACTGATAATTCAACGTTCTTGGAAAAACAACATAAGAATCTTCAACTAGAATAAAGTGGGGAGGTTGTAAGGAGATGGGACCTACAAAATTCAACTCCAAAGCAAACCTGCAGGAGTGTAAAGTGCAGTGATCTGGAGAGATTGCTAACTTCTCTCTCTGTCTCTCTCACTGTCTCTTGCGCTCTCTCTCTCTCTCTTCATATATAAGTATATGTGTATGTGTGTGTATACATAGTGTCATGGTAGTCTTATCTACAAAAATAAAAAATCTGGGTAATATGTACCTCATAAAGTGATTGTAATACTAAATATGAAAAGCATTTCATGTAAAGCACTGAATTAGTGGTTCTCAAAATGTTTTGAATCAGGGCTCCTTCACAATCTTTAAAAATTACTGAGGATCCCAAAGAGCTTTGTTTATAAAGGTTATACCTATCGCTATTTACTATATCAAAATTTAAAACTGTTATTTAAATACGTTTATTAGTTCATTAAAAATTAATCCATATATTGACACAAGTAAAATAATTTTAATAAAAACACTATTTTCTAAAATTGTTTTTACAGTTTTGCAAATGTCTGCCTTCATAGGAGTCTCCTAAATTCTAATATCTACATCTGCACTCATTCTGTTGCAATATGATGTTTCAGTTCAAGCATATTTTAAAAATCTGGCATCACCGAGGTAGGGAGTTATACAACAACTGAGTATTTTAACAGGTCTTTCAGATAACGGTGGCTATTCTTTGATAGGACACCAAAACTCAACAAGCGGTAGTTTCTTGAAGGTTGACTATGGTGTTGAATCTGAAACCCTATCAATGAACTTTTGGAAAATATTGATTCACTAAGTAATAAAAACCTTTCAAATGTTGACACATTTCACTATACAATAGCAAAAAAATCACATGACTTATTTTCACAAGCCACTTCATCAGAAATAGTTTATGTATTGGGACCTGTCAAGCTCATGGTGGTGGATGTAACTTTTCAAAAATTGTGATTTTCCCTTGAAAGCTCAAATTCTACCATTTGAAAAAAAACAACACCATCAGTTGTATTCCTTGAAGTGACAAGTTCACTTGCATTGTTTTTAGAAAATGTCTGTCAAATACCCTAATACAAATAACCATAGCCCCAGGTAAAAATGGTGTTCCATGAAAACAGCAGCTTGCAACGCAGGCACACAAATGTTTTTCTTTGAGCCAACCAATGTACTTCAGTATACAGCAGACGGCCTTTAGGCATTCTTCCTATTTCTTCAGGCAGAACATTAACATCAATATGCACTCAAGGGTCAAGATTGAATGAGATTAGTATTTTCTTCCTGCCTTATCGAGGACATTCGTAAGTGAAGCTGGCTTTTTTTTTATCTGCAAGCACACTGTGGTGAAGAATGCAATGATGATTAGTACAGTTTCATGTCACCAGCCTGATTCGTGCTCAGGTGCCAATGGTTTACCCACTGCTGCTTTTGCACCATCAGGGCAAAAGTCAACCCAAAGAAGCAAAGAACGTCTTAGTATTACTATGAAAACAGTTTTAACCTCACAGACCCCTGGAAAGGTCCTTGAGGCCCCCCAGGGGTCTGTG